GCTGGGATTACAAGTGTGAGCCACTGCACTTGGCCTGGATCTCCTTTTTATGTGTTGTCCCTATCCTGATAGATTTTGATCACACACCCAGCAGTTTCTTTCTGAGCTGTGTCCTGGAAGTGAGATTTGGACAGACAGTATTGGAAATTCAGAGGGGCTAGAATGTCTAGAATGTCCCCACCCCTTTAGGTTTTACTGGGTTTCCTTGTGCTCATCTGCAATTAAAATGGGCAAAACCCCTTCCAGTTTCAGTTGCCACTCACAGATTGATCCATTGTGCTTTCCAGTGATGCCTGTTGCTCTTTGGAATCTCCTGTTCTCAGTCTATCAAATGTCCCATGGGCTCCCTTTCCTATCTCTTACACACACTCCAACATCATGCAGGTCTTGTGCTTGATGGTGATGTGTCCCCATATGCTTGTATTCTGTGGTTTGGGGGAATGCCTTGCCATTTTCTTTTGCTGTAAATGTGATCCATGAGTTTTAATTTTGTTGTTTAGTTTCTCTGTTTATATGTAGGGGTTTGAGGAGATCCAAAACCATGCTCTCATTGTCATGTTTCTAGAAGCCCTATAACTTTCAGGGAACTGAAATTTAATATATTTTATATGATACATTATGCTTTTAAAAAATAATTCTTCTAAAGTAATTTCAATCTTACAGAAAATTGCAAGAATAATTTGGAGACTTCTTTGTATCCTTTACTTAGATTCCCTAATCAATTGTTAACATTTTACCACATTATCTTTTTCTCTTTCATTTTGTATCTAAAACATATAAAAGTCCAGTAAAATCATTATAATCAATAAATTAAAATTGATACAATACTAACATCGAAGCTGCAGACTGCATTCAAATTTCACTGATTGTCTCCATAATGTGCTTTATAATCACACTTTCCTTTCTGACCCAGGAACCAATAGAAAATCATGTGTTGAATTTAATTGCTATGTCTCTTTAACCTCCTTCAACTTGGAGATTCCTCAGTTTTTCCATGTCTTTCATGTTGACAGTTAAAAAGAGAACAGGCAATTAATTTGTAGACTGTCCTTACACTTGAGTTTGCCTTAAGTTTCTCATGGTTAGATTCAGGTTATTTGTTGGTAGTGGGTATTTGTGGAGACGTACCACAGAAGTGATGCTATGTTCTTCTCAATGCGGCATCAGAAGGCAACAATGTAATTTGTTCTATTTCTATCAGTGTTGACTTTTATCACTTGGTTAAGATGGTGTCTGCCGAATTTCTTCACTGTAAAATTAATTAATAAGTATTTTGTACTTACTAGGTTAAAAGTTATGAATAAGTATTTTGTGGAGAGCTACTTTTTTTTTTTTTAAGTTCAAACTCATTTCCCTTTTATTAAAGTCCAAGTTACCATCACATGGCTTGGTACTTAATAAAGGAAAACTTTTTCAAATAAGGTAATATGTTATCATCAGTATTTCCAGGTAACTGTTTACACTCAAGTAGCAATATCAATAAATCCTTGGGAAGCCATGGAGTTTACATTTTGTCAAGGCCCAGTTCCTCCGGAGTGGAGATTCCGAGTTCATTTAAAGTTGATCTAAGTTCCTGGATGACATAGGGGTAGATTTCCTTATGAGGTCCTGCTTTGTCCTAAACGACCTCTAGGATGCGAACTGCACTAGCAAAATCGTTTAACCGTCATGCCCACAAAGCAACATCAATGATTTTGGGCTCTGGAACCAGATCATAGCTAACAAGTGTGTTGTTCATCCCTTTATGCAATTCCCAGGCATCTGTATCTGGCTTGTTGGTGTATGTTACCCAGCGAGCATCAAACTCCTCATCTGTCTCGTGTGACCCATGGGAATAGCAGTGAACTGACTGGATACCCGCGGCGGGGCCGGGAGTTGGGGCAGAATGCAGGAGGCCTCGAGGGCCGGCCCGGGCGGTTGCGGTCACCGCGCAGCGGCGGAGAGCGGCGCCAGCATGACGGCGATGGTGGCGCGCAGGCTGAGGATGGAGAGAAACCGGTGTGAGTTCGCGGGTTGCTCCGCATTTGGTGGGGGCCGGCGAGAGCTACTTTTATGTTATATAAATATCGCGTTCTTCATCACATTCCCCAGTCCCCACTCCCCGACTGGCTTTAGCATCCATTATTGGTTTTTTCCTAAATCAATTATTACTATAATGGTTGACAAATGATGCTATTCTAATCCCATTATTCTTTCTACATTTATTAGTTGGCTTTCTAGTATAAGGTAAAGTTCTACTTGGCCTAGCACAGTGGCTCATGCCTGTAATTCCAGCACTTTGGGAGGCAAAGGCAGGTGCACTTGAGGCCAGGAGTTCGAAACTAGCCTGGTCAACATAGTGAGACCTCATCTCTACAAAAGAAAAAAAAAAATCAAAAGATTAGCCCGGCATGGTGGTGCATACCTGTAGCATCACCTACAGGGGAGGCTGAGGAATGAGAATCACTTGAGCTCAGGAGTTTGAGGTTGCAGTGAGCCATGCTTGTGCCACTGCACTCCAGCCTGGGTGACAGGGTGAGACTGTCTCTTAAAAAAAAAAAAAAAAAAAAAAGCTTTTCCTTCTCCCTTGTGTATCTATTTTATTCAATGGATAATCTGTTGCTATCATTTATTTTGATGTTCAAATTGTTCCCGATTTAGCTAATGGAAGCCCTTCAAACTAGGACTTCTTCTTCTAACATGTCCTCATCATTCTTTGACTGCTTTCCTACTTTCGTGATAAACAAGATGTTCCAGGAACATTTTGTACTGTCCTTGTTCCAGTCCTAAAATCAACCATTTCTTCAAGGATTTCTGGATTCTGTTAGTGGAGAATGGTATTCAGAAGCCTCCATCTGGGTGCTGGGTGTGATCATTGCTACTAGGAGATCACTGCTTCCAGGTTTAGTCTTCTCCCTTTCTGAACTGTTAATTCCCTTTTGTGACAGAGAAAAACCCAGCTCTCATCTCAATACGCTCACTTAATTAATCTACCTGTATGTAACCAATCTCCTGACCTTATGGCTGCCTTGCAGACCAAGATATTACTTTGCAGTGAGGCCATTGTGTAGTAGAAATGAGGCTAGCCCCTTTGCTCTTCCCACTATAACTTGTAAATGCACTACACAAAGTCAGTGAGATCCTTTTCTAAACTAATTCCTATTCTTTATGCAAAAGAGAGTACGTGTAAAATTTGGGACTCCATTTATTGAATTTATTATAATTTTGTGAAATTTATTTTGCTATAAAAATGAATGTATAAATATTATAATATTAGAATCAAAATTTATTTTTAATCTGAAGTTTCTGGCTTTGCGTTCATGAGTTTGTTATGACACAATGAGAATATTTGCTCAACTGCTTTTTGGATACACAATTTAACAAATGAGACCTGACCAGCAGGGGAAAAAATAGTGAGAATTAAAAAAAAATTAACTACAAGTTCAATATGTTTTTAAAAAGTGGTTTTAAAAGATAACAAGTCTCATATCACTTTTAATCAATGTTTTCTAAAATATTTACTACATCATTGTAAGCTTTGTTATTACTAATAATAACTGTGATCTGTCTGAGCATTATTGCTTACAAAGCACCTAACAAGCATTGTCTCAATCTTTTCCCAGTTCTGTAGAGTAGATGATGTTATCTCCATTTTACAGACAGATCATATACTTATTGAAGCTATGCAACTTGTTAAAGATTGCCCAACTGTTAGGTGGCAGAAACGGTATATAAACAGAGTTATTTTAACTTACCATTTATTCTTCCCTTTTCATTATTTCATTCCTCTGAATTGGGAATTGTCTTTTTTTCTTTCTTTCTTTCTTTCTTTTTTTTTTTTTGAAATGGAGTCTCGCTCTGCCAGGCTGGAGTGCAGTGGTGAGATCTTGGCTCACTGCAAGCTCCGCCTCCGGGTTCATGCCGTTCTCCTGCCTCAGCCTCCCGAGTAGCTGGGACTACAGGTGCCTGCCACCATGCCTGGCTAATTTTTTTGTATTTTTTTTAGTAGAGACGGGGCTTCACTGTGTTAGCCAGGATGGTCTTTATCTCCTGACCTTGTGATCCGCCCGCCTCGGCCTCCCAAAGTGCTGGGATTACAGGCATGAGCCACTGCACCCGGCCTGAATTGGAAATTTTCTCTCATCTTGCCTGTCCTGTTTGACAGATTATAAATGAATAACTACTCTCCCATGTAATTTACTAATTTTGTCACCTAGGCTTAGATCAATCAACTCTAATAGGTTCATTTATTCAAGTTGCCGAAAGTGCCTATTGTCCCCCAGTATTTATTTCTTTGCTTTGCACAGTAATAGAATGTTTAGCCAGACAAATGGCCACCTCAGAAAAAAGTTCATTTCCGGCTGGGAGCAGTGGCTCACCCCTGTAATCCCAGCACTTTGGGAGGCCGAGGTAGGCGAATCACTTGAAGTCAGGAGTTCAAGAACAGCCTGGCCAACATGGTGAAACCCTGTCTCTACTAAAAATACAAAAATTAGCCAGGTGGTAGTGGTGTACACCTGTAATCCCAGCTACTTGGGAGGCTGAGGCAGGAGAATCACTTGAACCTAGGAGACAGAGGTTGCAGTAAGCGGAAATCGCGCCACCGTACTCCAGCCTGGGTGACAGAATGAGACTCTGTCTCAAAAAAAAAAAAAAAAAAAGAAAAGAAAAGAAAAAAGAAAAAATGTTCATTTCCTAGCCTACTTGTCAGGTGGGTATGGCCATGTGATAAGGGTAGTAATGCTAACAGCTCCTAGGAACCTTCCTTCAAATGTGCCCCCTGTACTCCTTTTTTGTCACTTCCTCCATCCTGTTTCCTGGAGCAGAAATCCTGCCTTGTATAATGAGAATTAGGACTCTACCCCAGGAATGTCATTAGGGTGGTGAGCTAGAAGGAGACCCCTGGGTCCAAATAACTTTATGGGGCAGAGCTACCATATCTATCCGGACTGCAAAATTCCAGACTTCAGAAAACTCAAAAGCCACTGGATGTTTTTGTTTAAGAGCATGTTGCTTTGTCACTCAGGCTGGAGAGCAGTGGCTATTCACAGGCACAATCTTAGAACTTTGCAGCCTCCACCTCCCAAGAGATCTCACCTAAGCCTCCCGAGTAGCTGGAACCACAAGTGCAGGCCACCATGCCCAGCTAAGCCACTGATATTTTGACTTGGCCAATCACAACCTAATGTATACATTCAGTATCTATCTGCAGATCCTACCTAACCAGTCCCAAAATTGAGTGAGACTGACCATTCACCCCACATCCAGAGGCAGGCCTTGATTGCTTTAGGGCCCCTCAGGGTGATTTCAATGTAGGGCATAGGGCCATAGTGGTTGGTTCAGTAATGAGTGCCTAAGTCAGTCAGCTTACAGCCTTCCCCTGGCCCCAGTGGCTGGTTCCCTAAGACACAAATCATGGGAGGTTTGGGAGAGGTGCCCTCTCTTAGGGAAGGATGTAGCCCAGGTGTAAACACGGAGGCACATAGCTTTAGAGAAATCAGGCTGAGGATGTGACTGGCTGTTGGAGGAAGGTAGAAATAAAAGAATTGTGGATGTTTTCCTTAAGATTCGACCAACCCTAAAACCTGCCTGACTTGTGGTCTTTTCAGAGAATGAGCCAACAATCATCCAGTTATATTGTTTAAGCTAATTTGAATTGAGTTTTCTGCTCATTGTATTCAAGGTCATATAACTGATATACCTTCCAGTGTCTTCAGGATTACATCAATGTTTAATAATGTAGATTGACATTTTTAGGGTAGTGTTTTTTGATATTTTTTTTGACCAGTTTGAACACAACTGTAATGGATTCCTATCTTATTCAGTATGTGATCACCTTTTGCTATTGTATGTGTGTGTGTGTGTGTGTGTGTGTGTGTGTTGTGGTCTCACTCTGTCACCCAGGCTGGAGTGCAGTGGTGCAATCATGGCTCACTGCAATCTTGACCTCCTAGACTCAAGGGCCCATCTCAGCCTCCCAAGTAGCTGGGACTACAGGCATGTGCCACTATTTCTGGCTAATTTTTAAAATAATTTTTTGTAGAGATGGGGTCTCACTGTGTGGTCTAGGCTGGTCTTAAACTCCTGGGCTCAAGTGATCCCCCTGCCTTGGCCTCCCAAAGTGCTGGAATTTATAGGTGTGAGCCACCACACCCAGTCTTATTTATTTTCATGTTCAAATTTTCCCAATTTAACACAACTTTTTTCACATAGTTTGTCCCGTTGCTTTATTCTCTGATTTTATTTTTCAAATCTTGAAGGATGGTTTTGTAAAGGCTGCAATGGATGTGTTAAAATTCGAATGTGAAGCTTACCCTTTCTGGAAAATCACTCCTTGGTTTTCTTATGCTGTCTCATTTCTCTACTGCCTCGTTTCTCTACCTCTTCCTTTGCCCATTTTTCAAATTGTTTCTGTACTGACTCCCTTCACAAATCTGTTTTCTTCTCCAGCTCCTGAAAAGTGCTAGTTTTTTGGTTTTGTTTTTTACATCTTATTTTAAAAATTCATTTTAAAAAATCTTCTATATTCTTCCAATGAAAAAATTATTTCTTTAATTGACAAATTAAAATTGTATACATTTATGGTGTACATTGTGATGTTTTGAAATATGTATACATTGTGGAATGGCTAAACTGGGCTAATTAATACATGCATTACCTCATGCACATCATTCTCTTGTGGTAAGAACTCTGAAAATCTACTTTCTTAGCAATATTCAATTATGGAATAGAGTATGATTAATTATAGTCACTGTGCTCTACAGTAGATTCCCCAAACGTTTTCACCTTGCAATTGAAAGTTTGTGTCCTCTGACCAACATCTCCCCATTTCCCTCCCCAGCTCTGGCAATCATCAGTCTACACTCTTGCTTTTCAGTGTTCCAATTTTTTAGAATCCACATATGAATGAGATCATGTGGTATTTCTTTTTGTGCCTGGCTTATTTCACTTAATATAATGTCCTCCAGGTAAATCCATGCTGTTGCAAATGACAAAGCTTAGTTCTTGACCCACAGATTTAATGTGAAGTCTTTCTCAGAGGTGTCACTTACTCATAACTTCAGATAATCACCTTTGCAATTGTCTCCAATCCTCACTGTGTTTCAGGCCTCGATTTCCAACTCCACCAGGAGGCACGGTAGCCATCTAAAGGCAGTATACCTCAAACTGAAATCTTTCATCCTAAACTATTAATAGCTGTCTGCAAGTTTTTCTATTCTTACCAAGCATGCCTTTCTTTCAGTCTCTCAATTTTAAAACTTTGAGGTCATTCTTATCTTCTACTTTTCCTTTTCTACCACATTTAGCCCATAAGCAAAGTGTTGTTTCTTCTATAAAGTTTTCAAGGACCACTACTAGGGCATAGCCCTTCAC